TAAAACTCCAAAATTACAGCATCAATGTATTTGTCATACACTTCTTACTGACAGACAGAAAATAACAGAAATCATGCTTCACATTTAAATTCTAAAGGGTTCCCAGAGATTAATGGTGCGCTCCTGTCAAAAACGGTTTTTATTAATTACTATGAGTGTTTTTATTACTTCTAGTTCTCATGTACTTACCCAGCATTCTGGATTCTGCTTACTGAAGCAATCTTTTCCAAGACCCAATCAGAGTTCTCTGTTGAACCTATCTGCCAGGAATGTTTATTTGTATATTCGCCTGACAACTCAACATCTGGCTACTATCAAAATTCACTCTTCCATTTAAAAGAAGATAACCTTCAAAACTGACAGGCATTTAGCTACATCTGTCTAGATCTTTTTGCAGTTTCCTTTCCCATGCTTTCTAAGGCCCAACAACCACTTTCTCTCCTGCCCAAGGCCACTCCATCACTAAGCACCATCTTTGGGAAAGCTCCACATCCAATTCAGTCTTGCATGGTGAGATAATATCATGCAGTGATTACAATGGAGTTGGTTTATTAACTGGGATGGTGTCATTGACCAGATTAACTCAGTTCTTAGCTTTCTTCCAACAGTGTTTATCTGCGCTGAAAAAGAAATACATGACAGAAGGCAGTGTAGATGGAAGCATTTAAGGAGGGCAGGTTTCTTCCCAAGAGCCGAAAAAAATCTCTGGAGGCTTTCCATGGGTATCGAAGAAGTAAACCATTGTGGTAATCTTGATTCTCCACTAAAATGTGATTCTGAATATGGATCTTGGCAGTGCTTATTATAGATTTCTCCACTTCTAGATGACTCAATGCCTTAAGGGCATTCGGGATTGGAAAGGACCATTAGCTCTTCTTCATCTTCTATCATCAACAGGGTAATTCTTTCATATGTCCTTGAGCAGTTCTCACTTACATGACTCATAGCACTTTTTCCAAACCCTCATAACTGCACAACACAGTATTATACCAATAACTTGGGGGCAGAACTTTGAAGCTGACTTCACCATTTCTTTCATTACTTACTGTATAACTTCAGGCAAGTTATACAAACTTCATGTGTCTCAGTTTTCTCTACTTAAATGTTGATAGCAGAGTTTTTTGGATCAATTTATTGATACATTTAAAACAGACCTTGACATGTAGCAAGTATTCAATTATGTTATCTATTAATTTTTTTCTGACAAATGCCCTATTCCTCCCCCATCAAACATCACTTTTAAAAAAATGACCTTATTACTTACTTCACAGTTTACATAGGTTAACGTGCCTGAACTCTCTCATATAGTTATCCTTCTTTTTCTGCTGATTTAGCCTCTACCATTCTTCCTTTCTGTCTCCCATTTTAGGATTATTCCTCCGCCAAAGAATGATTAATCCTTCTGTGTGCCAGATATAGTATCCTCCAGAGCCTTGTTAATTTATTATCCCCTCTCTCAAATATCCTCAACATTTTCTTCTTCCATGACTCTTTAATTCTGGCCCAAAAATATGTTCACATCTCTTATTTTTAAAAAAAATTCTGTACTACAATCATTTCGGAAGACAACTTGGCAGTTCTTACAAAGCTAATCATGGTCTTAAAATACAATCCAGCAGTTGTACTCCTAGGTTCTTAACCGAAAGAGTTAAAAACTTACATCTACACCAAAACCTGTTTGTAGCATCTTTATTCATAATTACCAAAAATTGAAAGCAACTGAGATGTCCCTCATTAGATGAACAGATAAACAAACTGTGGTACATCTGTACAATGAAATACTGATCAGCAATAAGTAGAAGTGAGCTATCAAGCCACAGAAAGACATAGGGGAAACTTAAATACATTTTACTAAGTGAAAGAAGCCAATCTGGAAAGGTTATATACTATATGATTTCAACTATATGACATTCTGGAAAAGGTAAAACTATAAAGACGGTAAAAAGATTAGTGTTTGCCAGGGATTAGGGAGGAAGGATAGGTAGAACACAGAGGATTTTTTAGGGCATGAAACTATTCTATATGATTTATAATGATGGATGTGTGATATTACTTGGCAAAACCTTACAACGGTACAACAGATAAAATGAACTTTAAACTATGGATTTAGTTAATAATATATCAGTATTGGCTCACCAGTAATAACAAATGTACCACACAAATATAAGTTTGTTAATAATAGAAGAAACTAGGGGCACCTGGGCGGTTCAGTTGGTTAAGCGTCTGACTCTTGATTTCGGCTCAGGTCATGATTTCAGGGTTGTGGGATCAAGCCCTGCAGTGGGCTCCACACTCAGCAGGGAGCCTGTTTGAGATTCTCTCTCTCTGTAGCCCCCCCTTTTTCTCTCTCTAAGATAAATAAATAAATCTTTAAAAAAATAATAATAATGGAAGAAACTGGACTGGAAGAGAGAGAATATATGAGAACTAGCTGTATTTTTGGTTTAATTTTTCTGTAAACCTAAAACTGCTTTGAGAAATAAAGCTTATTAATAATTTTTAAAACCTTAAGCTTTATATATATCCTTTCACAACAGCACCTAGGTTAGTATTTGATTAACTGCTTGAAGGTATATATATATATACACCAGGGGTGGGAATCTTGGGGGCCATCTTAGAACCCTGCCTATCCTACTATTCTATCCTATGCTGTCCACTTTCAACAACATCCTTTGTGGCAAAAGACTAAAGTTGATGACCCCTAGACTTGTAAGTTGGGCTCTTTTTTTCTCTTTCCATATATTTGCCTGGATTACTTTAACTACTTCCATGGTTTCAACTACTTTTTTTTATAGTGTTAACCACTGTAAAATTGATCTATCCTACCTAGTTAACTCTTCTGAACCTCATATCCATATTTCTAGCTGCCTCTTCTTGATATCCATTGACATTTCCAATAGAGACTTAAGGAAAACTCATTAATGCTCCTATAGACACACCTAAAATTAGAACATAAGTCTCCCTGTCAACTCCTTCTGTCTTCAAATGAGATCATCATTTACTCAGTTGCTCAAAACAGAAAACTTAGAGCTTTGCTTGGTATTTATTGAAGGCTTAGTATAGATTAGGGACTCTCTTAAATTTTTTACATTTAAATTTTTTTTACATGTAAATTTTTTTACAAATAAATTTTTAAATCCTCACACAACATCTCTATGGGAAAGATATGATTATTTGGAAACCTTGGTCAAGAACCTTTCCCAGGGTATTATATCTAGGACAAGGTAGTGCTAGAGATAAAACTGTCAGACTCAAGATCTAAGCTCTTAACCACTGTACTATTTTTCTTTCCCATACCCACCTGGTTATCGAATCTTACTAATTTTACCTCTGCAATATCATTCAAATTTATCTCCTTATTTCTAGCTCTGCTTTCGTGGCCTTGGTTCAGCATCTCATGAAATATTTCCCTAATCTCCAGACTGGGGTTCCCGTCTACAACGCTTGTTTATTTAAAAGGATCTCTACATCCCAGTCATACCAATTATACTTAAATGGAAACAAAGGTTTTTACTGCCCTACTTAAAGCCTTCTTATCCAAACTTTGTAGCTTGCCATACAAAACCTTTCTCCATCCAATTCCTGCCCATATTTTCCGTCTTGTCCCTTTGTATATAAGTGAATCTGTGTCATGTCTCCCATGGTACCCTTTTCTGTACATGTCATATTTTCAATGCTGTGAGTTTCCTAAGAACAGCAATCTATATAGCATAGTACTGGGCATACAAAATGGACTCAATAAATATGCACTGAATAAACTGTATTTAGAATCTATCTTTCCTTGTTTCAAAAATTCCCATTAAAAGATTACTTCAAGAAATTAAATGGATAATTTTGTGACTGAAAATACCAATATATACCATATATTTCTCTCTATATGGAGTAGATGCACATGTAGTTAATTATACAGGAAATATTTCTATCTGGTGAGATCAGGTCCTGGGGTCTCATTCCCTATTTCATGTATTACATCAATATCTTTGTTCAAACAGATATGTGACTATATTTGTTTGTTTGCAGGTAGTTGGGTCCACAGCAATGGTTTTCTACTCCAACTGCTTCATCCCCACCCCTATTTGTGTTGCTGCTAGATGAAACACCTAACACTAACCCATCTATAAACTATAGAGACATTTGACTATGATAACTGAAGGAAAATGGCAGCTATCAATGAGATGAACAGGATCACCCAAGTACATTCATAGGCTATAATAAACAGCATTTCCTAAAAGCATGATTCAAATGTTCTTTCTCAAGTTATAATTAACTGATACCCACAACTGGTTAGTTTGTGGATATTCCTGCTTTAGGAAAATAAGGTTAATTTCTTGTGGTTACCATTTTAAAATAAATTCTCACATTTGAAAACTTTCAAGCTTTCTCTGCTTTGCCAAGGTTTGCTCTCTTCCTTGTTTACACTTCAAGTAATTTTCATGTGCTCCTTCTGCTAAAACCCAAGGGTGGACTCCTGACCTCCTTGCTAGAGGTGCGAATGATGCCAGGGTTAGTGACTGTTCTGCGGTTTCCCAAAGCTCCTCCTCCCCAGACCGTGACAATTCTTCGGATGCTGAGGTTGGGAAGCAGGACAGGGGACAGTGCTGGGGTGCAGCTCGAAGGGAAGGGAGCCAAATCCTTGGGGGTTGAAGAGGCGCGAGGGAATCAGCGTGTAATGCGGAGTGTGGACCTTTTGGGCCATCCTGCTGCTGTTCACTCAGTCCCCAGCTCTGCTCTTCCGCCAGACCGGCCCGCGCGGGCCGCTGTCCACAGTGGGAGGTACTGAAAGCAAGGAGCGGGCGCGGGGGCGGCGAGGCGGACCGCTCCTCCGAGCGCCCCCCTCCTCGCTCCGCGGCTCCTCCAGCCCTCCCCTCCTCCCGCAGCCATGTTCCACGCGCGGGGAGGGGCGGGGGAAGGGGAGAGGGACCGGGGATCAGGGCGGAGAGAGCCGGCTCTGCCTCAGGGAAGGAGGGGATGAGAGTTGGGGAGAGCAGCAGCAGGAGGAGGAGGAGGAGGCGGCGGCTAGCGAGGAGCCAGCGCTGGGTCCTGCAGTAGGACTCCCAGGAGCCACCATCATGGTGAAGAGGAAGAGCTCCGAGGGCCAGGAGCAGGACAGCGGCCGCGGCATCCCCCTGCCCATCCAGACCTTCCTGTGGCGGCAAACCAGGTGAGGGGCGCAGAGGGCGCGCCGCGGGCCACCCTGGGCTGGGGACGCTCCTGGGGCCGCCTGGGTCACCGCCGCTGCCGCTGCTGCTGCCGCCACTGCTGCTGAGGCCGCGCCACAGCCTGCAGCTCCCTCTCTGGGGCTGGAAAGCAAGCCCTCTGCACCTGCTTAAAAACACGCATTTAAAAAATATTTCCGTGAAGTTTGGCGACAAGCAGATTGGCAGTTGAATAAATATGTACATTATTTAGGGGGTGGGAGGGCAGAAAGCCTAGGAAGAGGGGGCGGGGAACTAGGGAAGATCATTAGGACTGGTTGTGCTCTAGCGTCCAATTTCCCCTCCATCTCCTGCTGTAATTCCAGGCCGGTGACCTGTTGTTTTTCCAGCTCCTGTTTGGCGAATATCAGCTATGCCCACTTGTTAACCATTTTTGCTCGGATTCAGCCCATGTAGTCTTCCTGGTTCAAGACCCTGAGGAGGATGATTTTTGATAAGCATTTTTTTTTCCTGGGAAGACCTCTGAAACCTATTCTAATAAACAAGAAACAAGGTTTCCATTATTATTATTATTATTATTATTATTATTATTTTAGAAATCTATCAGATAAAAAATTAGGTTCTGGAAATCACACCCCACAAACTGTTCATTTTTAGTTTTTAATATAATTATACACACGAGCAAGACACCACTCCTGACCATTGGCAATTTGGAATCTGATTAGGGAAAAGTCTTCAGAATAAGAGTGGATACAGAAAATGTGGAGAGCCACATCTCTTTCATACATGTAATTACATATGTAAAAGCAAATGTCGTCAGCTGTTCAATACCTGCTCATTAACAAGCTATAGGGAGGCATGAAATTTGAGTTATATAGCACTGTGTCTTATCCGTTGAAAAATGTGTCATAAAGATGCTAATAATTTTATTATAACCACTATCTCTATTAATTTTTCAGTGCATTTTTGAGGCCTAAACTGGGAAAGCAGTATGAAGCCTCATGTGTGGTATGTGATATTCACCATTTAATGATTATTTCCATATTCTGTGTGGTCATTTCAACCCAAAGAAAGGCATGAAATTGTACTGACTGTATAGATTAATTCGCTCAGCAAATATTATTGAGCACCTACTAGTGCTAGGCATAGTTCTAAATGATGGGATAGAGCAATAATCAAAATACAGAGTTTGCATTCTAGTGGGAGGAAGTCAGGCCACTCACAAATAAATAAAATACATAATAAGGCAGATAGTGATAAGCACTATGGAGAAAAATGAAGCAAAAAAGACTGGGGGCACTGGCAAGGGGGGGGGGCGGGGGTAGGAGTGGATTCCATGTTAAGAACAGTGGATAGGTAAGGCTTACCTGCTAATGTGACTGTTAGAGAAAACTGTGAAAAGAGGGAGGGAGGAATAGGTAAGGAAAGAGCAAAGGGGAACAGCAAGTCTAAAGCATCTTATCTCCAAGTGGACAGAAGTAGAGCAGTAGAAGAAAGGGTGGAGAGATTACAGAGAACCAGGTGGTGAAGGTCCTTGCAGGGCAAGTATAAGAAGTCCATTCCTTCATCAACAAAATTGAGACTGTTATGGTGGAAGGTAAAGAGATGAGGGTCTATGAACTACTCAAAGTCATATACAGTTCTGAACTTATATGTCTTGCATGTTTTGTGCAAGTCTGAAAATAGATGATATAAAATAATTATGAAAATAAGCTATTAATATGTATACTCTATAGAGTGCACTTGTCCTGAGATTCTAAGGGAATCCCATATCCTTAAAAATGTCCAAATCACAAATTGAAAGCAAAAGACATGAAATCATGAAGCAAAAATGAAATGAAATTTTCAGATTTCATTAAAATTTGGAGCTCAAATAAAGACCTTCACATTTCATATATCATAACCTAAAAGTGGAAACCTACCCATTTAGGCTTTGCCATGAAAATTTGCGAATGACTACATAGTAAGGAGTTCTGAAATGTGTTAGGGCCCTCAAAAACGATGAAAGCCAATTAGAGAGTTTTAAGCAAGCACACAGGTACACACACTCAAATAGGAATTTGTTTTGTTGTATCTCTTGCCCTTCAAAGTTGCCACAGAGATATTTTTAAAATATAATCTTTTAATAAGAACCTTTTAATGGAATTTGTTGTTGTATTTAGCTCAAGTTAGAGTAATTTGACAGTTAAGAAATCACTGAGCCTCCCATAAATCACGCTTACAAGTATACTAGCTTAAAATAATCCTGACTTTTCCCTGTTCTTGGCAAAGATCTGGCATTTTTAATGTAGTCACACAATATCAAACAACTAAGTCACAGATAGAGAAATAAAAATGTAGAAAGCAGTTTTCAGGGTTTAAAAAATAACAGTTATATTAGTAACATTTAAGAAGAAAATGACATTAAGTACCCAGAGTGCCCTAATATTATAATATATACAAGTCATCCTCTAAAATGTATTCAATAAGACTGTGTAAATTCTTTATAATCTTTTAATGCCCAACATACTCACCCTTTACTTAATGGATACTTAGATACCTGAGGGCTGAAGAATTTAAAAGCATTTGGATCTGACTTTATTCAGTTAAAAAAACAACAACAAAAAAACCATATCTCTGTTTATACTCCTTACCAAAACCTCATCATGCTTTTCATTATGAAGGTGAAGTTCTTATTTTCCTTTTTTGAGTCGAAAAGTAATTCATTTTCTTCAGAGAATCTCTGTATTAATTAATCCGCCTTTTTCTCTGGTATCCTAATAATATCAATAATACAGCTTGAATACTTGGAACCTGTATTATGATCACTCTGTGGCATACTTCCACAGTTTTCCTGATTACATAGGGCATCAAGTAGCAATCAGGTTCAATTCATACAAGTCAAATATTTATTAAATTCATTTTAATATTTGGAATCTATACTTTCCTTAAGCCCTTATAGTGATATCCCCCTCCCCAATCAAACAACAACCAAAACTGGGAGTACGTCACATTTGTTCTGGGATGTTTCACTCTCTGAAAGTATTCCTGGCCAAGAGAGAAGGTTTAATAAACCAGCAAAGCTATGGCTTATCTCCCTTCCTTCCTTTCTTTCTTCAACAGGTATAAGAAGTATCTTTATGGTTACAGGCCTTAGGCAAGAAATGTCTTGTGTCATGTTATTGCTAAGGACATGAAATAATTCAGAGGACCCCCCCCAGTCAGATTTCTTGAACAAGTTGTATCTTATTTAACACTTGTTTAACATTGACACAAATTCTGTCCTCAATATGCTTTCACAAAAGACAATTCACTTAGTTCTGCAATTGTGACAGCCCCTTTGGATGCCTCAGCAGCATTGTATAAAATATTATATGAGTTAAATATGGTGGTGTGCTCTTTTTTTAGAGGAAGCTAATTTTGGTGAAAATAAAAATCACTTAATAATTCAAGTCCTATATTTTAAATCAAAAACCTAAAAATGGTTAAAAAGTAATGATCACTGACCCATTGTACGTTGACATGAAATGCAATTTGAGTGCACTCTAAAAAATTTGATCCAGTGATTTGCATCTTGGTGTAGTACCTTAATCTCCAGTTTCTTGTCAGTCAGACTCTCCAGTTCCTTATTTTAAGTGATTTTTTCTTCTTTTTTTTGGTATCTACAGTCCTTTGAACGTGTGTTGGTAGAGAACAAGCTGCATGGCCTTTCTCCAGCCCTCTCTGAAGCCATCCAGAGCATTTCCAGATGGGAGCTGGTACAAGCTGCTTTGCCTCACGTCCTCCACTGCACTGCAACGCTGCTTTCAAACAGGAACAAGTTAGGTTGGTTCTTCCTCATTCCTTCTTCATGGCATACAATCGTCAGCACTCGTGCTGACATTTACTGGCTACTTGCTCTTTTCCCAGGCACCGAACACATGTGATCTCATTTAATTCTCATAAAAGCCCCCTCTCGTGGGTACCATTATGATCTCCATTTTACCAATGAAAGAACTGGCTCTCTTATTTTTAAATTTTAAATTTTACAAGTAATACATGAATATATTTTCCTTTTAAACATTAAAACATTACAGGGAAGCTGAAGACTATCACCCATCCAAGATGAGTTCGGATCCAATTTCTCTCTGGCCCTCTCAACTCCTAAAGCGACCCCTTGCACTTTGTAGTCCATGTGTACATGCATGCGTTGTGCATAGAGACTCTTCTTTTTTAGATTATCTGGTGGATTGCTTTTCTCACGTGGTAACATGTCCTAACATCCACCCCATGTTCTCACACAAGCTGTTTTCCGTCCAGTTCTTTCCCCAGAGACATTTGTCTCTGCACAAATGTTACTTTTACCGAGGGGTTTCTTGGTCACCCTGTCTAAAGTAAAGTAGTTGCTATCTTCAAAGCCTGGGTTCTTAACCACTACGCTGCCTATTTGGAGATAGATATGGATATCAGACTGAAGAGATAGGATGCATGCAGTTTCTCCTCCTATGACACTATGTTATTCTGCAGAGATTATAACCAGCTAGAAAGCCCAAAACAAGAATGAGCCCTTCCAGGGATGCCTGCGTGGCTCAGTCAGTGAAGCATCTGTCTTTGGCTCAGGTCATGATCCCAGGGTCCTGGGATCAAGCCCCCCATGTCAGGCGCCATGCTCAGCGGCGAGTCTGCTTCTCCCTCGCCTGCTGTGATCTTTTACTCTCTCTCAAATAAATAAATAAATAAATCTTTAAAAAAAAAAAACGAGCCCTTCCAGCTGTGGTTGTAAGAAATATAGAGAAATGCTAGTATCTTCCAGGAAATCAAGCCACAGAGCAACGCAAGAATGTTCTTCCCACACCCAGAGTTGATATCCATTGTTCTGATAGCAGAGTTTGTCTTAACTTGGCCGTGTGATTGTCCCCATGCAGGCCACCAGGATAAACTGGGTGTTGCTGAGACAAAGCTCCTTCACACCCTGCATTGGATGCTTCTAGAGGCTCCACAGGACTGCAACAGTGAGCGGTTTGGGGGCACAGACCGTGGCTCCAGCTGGGGTGGCAGCAGCAGTGCTTTCATCCACCAGGTAGAAAACCAGGGTTCCCCAGGGCAGCCTTGCCAGGGCAGCTCCAACGATGAAGACGAGAACAACCGAAGGAAGATCTTCCAGAACTCCATGGCCACCGTGGAGCTCTTTGTGTTTCTGTTTGCTCCTCTGGTACACAGGATCAAGGTAAGGAGAGGGCTAGTATTAAGCTGAGGGGGGATAGAGGTGAGGTGAGCTTCAAATGGTATTTCCATATTTCCATATTTGGTTATCTGTATCTTTATATGATCATGTGGCAAGCCAAGACATGGAGAGCTTAATTTCTATATCAAACCACTGAACATGATTTCAAAAACACAGTTCTCTGTGTATCATGTATCTACTTAAAAGTCTTCAAAGGTTCTCCTTCTGCCCGAAGATGATGCCCCACATACTAAACATTGCATATAAGGTCAAGGAACTTTTAATTTATCATTTGCCATTCCCTCCTGGCATCTTCATGATCCAGCTGTGGGAGCCATTCCCTGAATATACGCTTGCTGTTCGCTCTGCCCACTTTCTTTTCTCTGTTCATCTGATGAGTCTTCAAACCTCAACTTCAATGTCATTATTTCCATGAAGCTATTCCTCTGAAACTCCCCATGTAGACTGAGTCACTATCTCCTTTGCATTTCTACATCGCCTTGTAAGCTGTCTCTATTATAATGCAGAAGTTCTGGAGCAGAAGTTCTAAATGTCTTCTATGCCGTGGACTTCTTGACAGTGCGGTACAAGCTGAGAATTGCTTTTCAAAATATTTCTGAAAGCATAAAATACAAAACATAGGATTACATAGAAACCAGTTGTACTAAAATGTAATTATATACAAATACCCCTTGGGTCTGAAAGAAATAATATCATTTGAAACTACTGTGCCACCACTCTCTAGCTCTGTGATCTTGGTGACTTTACTTAACCTCTCTGATCCTCCATTGCATACCATTGTGGATACCTCTAACACAGGGTGAATATATGTGAAGACACAGTATAGTTCCAACACATGGAGAGAAATCAAGATCTATTTGTTATTTCTGTGAATGAATAAATTACAGTATACCATCTGAATGCTAAGTTAAGAGATAAGAAGAAATTGGTATACTCAAATGTTCTTTAATAGAATATTAGGATCCTAATGAATATTTCAAGCTATATATATGTATGTATGTATGTGAATGTGTGTACATACATATATGTAGGTGGTTGTGAGGCCGTTAACAATCACTATAAGAAAAATGAACTAGTGAGTCTTTTCACTCATTCTAGTTTTAGTTAAAATTCACTTTCGCTTGACACTGTCCCATTGCTGCCAGGAATAGAATTAAAATTACCTATAAATTCCTAAAATGCTTTGCATGCACTGGCCACAGTGCCCATGAAACATGCTAAAAATTTTAAATGTTGTGAAATCAAATTAAATAGCTGCCTTAAAATCTTTGACTTTCCATTTTAAAAAAGTCTTTTATAATGGTTACACTTACTAAGAAGCATTACTTTAATTGAGATCATCCCCTGGCTTATGGGACCAGCAGTCCAGGCTCCTGCCCACCTTCTCAGCCCCATCTCCTGCCATGGCAATAGCCTTTCTCTCCTTCACGTTCAGTGAGGCTCACCCTCAAACTCATTCTTGCCTTCAAGTCCTGCACTGGTTTTTCCTTCTGTTTGAAACATCAACCTCCACCTCCTCCCCTAAATTTTCATATGGCCATATCATTCTATGAGTTTACTCACAACTCACAATTCTCAGAAAGAATTTTCCTGGCGACTTCAGTGTCACTAGCGCATGACTATCTTTTTTCCCCCCTCTCTTTGCACTCATCAGTACCCGAAATTATTTTCTCTGCTTGTTTGCATGCTTGTTGCCCTCTACCCCCATAGAACAGATTTCTTGAGCAAAGGGACATTGCCTGTCTAGGTCACACTGTATTTTCAGTGTCTAGAATAGTGTCTGGCAAAAATGGGATACACGATTAATATTTAGTAAGGGAGTCATTGAGTAAACCCAAGTTGTTATCAGAAGCTGATCTAAGTGCTAAGAGTTGTGATTATATGTAGGTACATAGTCCTTAAAATGGAGAGGACAGGAAAGAAGTCTTCTTTAAATAATGATCCCATAAAGATGTCTATCTGTGGACAAATACCCTCTGGATTAAAAAACGTGGAAGCGCAGAAGTGACTGGAATGGCTGTAATTTTATTTGAAGACATGGCTGAGAGTTCAAATTTTGGAAATAGGCCTGCATTTGAATCACACGCTTGTTGCTTCCTACTATATGACTTAGAGCAAGCCTCAGTTTCCCTCAAGTATAAATTGGACATAAGAATAGTTTTATGGGACATTGTGATGAAACATATGATAGTGCTCAACATTACACATAAAAGGGCCTTAATAAATATGTGTTGCTTTTAGTGTTGGCATTTTTTCGCTATTGGTGTTTTGTGTTATTAGTGGAAAGGAAGCCACATTCTCTTTCAGGGGAGACTATACAGACAGTTTCTGGCTCGAGACCCTCAAGTTTTATTTATGGCCTGGAGCATTTATGAGGGAGTAAGACAATGCATAGAAAACACGGTACAGTAATTAAATCATAATAAACTATTATTATTAGCTGTTATTACTGGCATATTATTATTTCATCAATTTATTATCTCTATGAAGGAAATATTGTTCCAGATGCTATAGGGAATAAAAAATATTAATGAGTCAATAAATTTCTCCAAAAGGCATTTTCCTTCTGAGCGAGGTGTTTGCTTTTTTAAATGTAGTTAAGGAATATACAATCCCTAGACCAGGGTTTCTCAGCCTTGGCACTGTTGGCATTTGGGGCCAGATTATTCTTTCTTGCGGGACATTGCCATGTGCCATGTAGGATATCAGAAGCATTTCTGGCCCCTACTCACCAGATGCCAGGAACACCACCTCCCTCTAAGTTGTGATGGCCACAGATGACTCCAGACATTGCCAGGTGTCCCCAGTGGGTGCGCGGGGGGGTGAGAATTGCCCCTGATTGAGAATCACTGCCTTTGGTCTTTCACTGGCCTGCTGGTTGTCAGACCCTCTCGATCTCCAGCTTTCTATCCCTACCATACCCATGTGAACTGCTCCTCACCAGCACCATTAATGTCTTTTTCCCCTATCCTTCCTTTGATTTGCCCTTCAAAATTCCAACCCCAGGTCATGACCCAAATCCCTTTTTTTCTACTCCTGATCCAGAGACCTGCATGCTCCTGGGGGGAAACCACACAATCATCCAGATTGGTGTTTCTACAAAGTTGTCATCTCCAACCCCTGTTTGCTGCCCCACGTGGCATTCCTTTTCTTGACGTTACTCCCTCAATTTGCCAGTCAGCACTTACACAGACAGTGTTATAGTTTCTTATAGGACATGGTGCTGCAGGAGGCGTGGGAGGCTAAAATCCAGTTGAGGCCACTTTCGAACTGGATTCACAGTCTCCTGGCTTGTCTCATAAAATCCAACTTCAACACGAAAGGGATCTATGTAGACCTGACCATATCACCAAAATGCTTGTTGATTTCTCATCATACAGCAAGTAAAACTCCAACTCATTAGTCTAGTAACTGGGCCTTCTTCTGGCCACTTCTCCTGCCTCTGAGCTCCAAGTGCTTGGAGTCTCCCCAGGAATGTAACGTGCTTTTGTCCAGGCCTGTTCTCATGCTGGTCCTGCCACCTAGAATGCTCTCATGCCCTGCCCTCCTGCCTGGGAAACTCCTCCTCATCTTTCACAACTACATTCAAGATCCATCCCTCTCTTCCTCTAGCTTTATAATATTCTAGACAGATTTTTATTGTTATTTCTAGTTTATTATCATTATTGCTTTATGTGTCAATCTCTCCTATTAGATTCTGAATGGTTTGAGGGTGGGGAGTTATCATTGTATTCTGGATAGCTAACATAGTATCTCAAATTCATAGGTATTTAATCAATATTTGTTGAATGAATTCACTCATTAATTAGCAAATTAATATAAATGACTCATCTTTTTGTAAGACAGTGTATAATTCAATGCACATTTTTCTATTTTAATTAAGTTCTTATTTTAATTCCAGTATGGTTAACGTACAGTGTTATATTGATTTCAGACGTGCAATAGAAGGATTCAGCAATCCCATACATCACCCAGTACTCATCACGGCAAGTGCACCCCTTCATCCACTATCTCCTAAACACCCCATCCCCCCACCTACCCTCTGGTAATCATCAGTTTGTTCTGTATAGTTAAGAGTCTGTTTCTCGGTTTGTCTCACCCTCTCTCTTTTTCTTTGCTCATTTATTTTGTTTCTCAAATTCCACGAGTGAACTCATATATTTGTCTCTGACTTATTTCACTTAGCATTGTATTCTCTAGCTCCATCCATGTCATTGCAAATGGCAAGATTCCACTCTTTTTTATGGCTGAATAATGTTCCGTTGTGTATCTATATACCACATCTTCTTTATCCCCTCAACTATTGATAGACACTTGGGCTGCTTCCATAATCTGGCTATTGTAAATAATACTGCAAAAAATATAGAGGCACATGTATCCCTTTGACTGATTGATTGACCGATTGATTGGGTAAATACCCAGTAGTGTGATTACTGGATCATAGTTTTAACGTTTTGAGGAACCTCCATACTGTTTTCCACAGTGGCTACAAGTTTACATTCTCACCAGCAGTGTGAGAGGGTTCCTGTTTCTTCACATCCTTACCAACACTTGTTGGTTCTTGTGTTTTTGATTTTAGCCATGCTGACAGGTGTGAGGTGATATGTCATTGTGGTTTTGATTTGCATTCCCCTGGTGGTGCGTGAGCTTGAGCATCTTTTCATGTATTTGTTGGCCATCTGTATGTCTTCTTTGGAGAAATGTCTATTCATGTCTTCTGCTGTTTTTTAATTGGATTACTTTTTATTGGGGTGTTGAGTTTTGTAAGTTCTTTATATGTTTTGGATACTAACCCTTTATCCGATATGTCATTTGCAAATATCTTCTCCTATTCAGTAGATTGCCTTTTAATTTTGCTGATTCTTTCCTTCGCTGTGTAGAACCTTTTTATTTTGATGTAGTTCCAATAGTTTACTTTTGCTTTTATTTCCTTTGCTTCAGGAGACATGTCTAGAAAAATGTTGCTATGGCTGATGCCAGAGACATTACTGCCTATGCTCTTTTCTAGGATTTTTATGGTTTCAGGTCCTTAATCCATTTTGGTCCTTAACCCATTTTGAGTTTATTTTTGCATATGATGTAAGAAAGTGGTCCAGTTTCATTCTTCAGCATGTTGCTGTCCAGTTTTCCCAACACCATTTGTTGAAGAGACCGTCTTTTTCCCACGCATGTTCTTTCCTCCTTTGTTGAAGATTAATTGACCTTATAATTGTGGGTTTAATTCTGGGTTTTCTGTACTGTTCCATTGATCTATGTGTCTATTTTTGTGCCAGTACCATCCTGTTTTGATTACAATAGCTTTGTAGTATAACTTGAAATCTGGGACTGTGTTACCTCCAGTTTTGTTTATCTTCTTCACGATTGCTTTGGCTCCTCAGGGTCTTCTGTGGTCCATACAAACTTTAGGATTGTTTGTTCCAGGTCTGTGAAAGATGCTGTTGGTATTATCATAGGGATTGTATTACGTCTGTAGATTGCTTTGGATACTATAGACATTTTAGCAATATTTGTTCTTCCAATCCATGAGCATGGAATGTCTTTCCATTTCTTTGTATTGTCTTCAGTTTCTTTCATCAGTGTTTTATAGTTTTCAGAGTACTGGTTTTTTACTTCTTTGGTTAAGTTTATTCCTAGGTACTCTATTATTTTGGGTGCAATTATAAATGGGATTGTTTTCTTAATTTCTCTTTCTGCTCCTTCATTATCTGTATATAGAAATGCAACAGATTTCTGTACATTGATTCTGTGATTTTAATTTATAACTGCCTCAAGTATGTCACATGAAGTAAATCTTAAAAATTCTGTCAAATATATTATTTTCAACTAAATTTAATTTAGTGAAAAATGCTGAGTATTTATTATAACTAAGGAATTTAAGTGTAATGTCATGATTTGATCATATTCACTTATTCCTTCAATAAATATTTATTGAGTGCCTAGTCTATGAGAGGCACTACTCAGTGCTAGAGAAATAGCAAGGAATAAAAATCCAAGCCCTCAAGGGGGTTTTTATAAAATCCATATGTGTGAAGTAAACAACTTTAAAATTTAAAATAACAATAATTTTTAAACTCAATTTCTCTAAATTACTAGTAAACATATTTAGAATTATTTCATGCCATCATGGAAACGGGCTTTCAGTGAAAAAAAAATGCATCTGAAATGTGGAGATATCGATTCTACTAGTGTCTGCGTCTTCTGGTTTTTCTAAGGACCTCACTAGACCACCTGCCCCACAGCTGTTTCAATGATAGTGTCTCTTCTAGCTATCAACATTCTGGCCATGTGGGCATACATGGCATTAGATGACCCACTAAAGGGGACTCCAGAAGAGGAATTAGGGTCCCAGAGCTTATGCATTCATCCAACTTAAAAAAGGACTTACAAAGGAACATAGCAACATAAGAGGAGGCCATACCTTCTGCAAGTGTTCAAGTCTAAAGAATGATCTGATTTAGTGGGTGTTACTTGTGAAATGTAAACTATCTTTAATTAATCAGTAAGTCTGTATTGATGCTCAAGGGGAAATGCACAGAAGGAGATCTCAATTTGTCTCCAATAAATATACAATCTAGTTGGAAATATATCAAAGAAAACAAAATAACAAGTCTCAGTGAGTGCTAACATCGATAGGGCCAGTGTTAAAGGCCCAGGCTTCAGTATAAGAGAGCTTACCTTTGGAAGCAGTGTCCACTAGAGTTTTATTTGTGCCAAGATTACTTATGAGGAACATGGAAAAGGACTGAGCTCAGAAGCTATGAAATCATCAAAACCAGGTCAATTGAGATTTGGCTTCCTGCATTTCTGGAGACAAATCTGATAAACTTTGCTTGCTGTTAATCCCCTGCTTGCTGGATCTAACACCACACATAATACTATGTTCCATTAACTTTAAACCTTCCTGTCAAACTGTTTACTCAGTATCTCTAGTTGAATGTCTAACAGGCATCTCAAACTTAACATGTCTGTAACTAGGTTCCTGATACCCCCCACACCTGCTCCTCCTTCATCTTGCCTATCTTTATCAAAGCCAAAAATCTCTGACACCTCTTTCTCACACCTTCCACTTCCAGTCTGTAGACTGTGTGTTCAAAATGTATCCAGAATCTACCACTGCTCATTTCGCCCTCTCTCCTGTAATCATCTTCCACCTAGATGATAATATTAGCTTCCCAAACCATCTCTCCACTTTTGCCCTTTCTTGAACTATGATTAATAGCCTCAGTAATCCTATCAAACATACATCCAGTAATGTCACGCCACTACTCAGAACCCTCTGGTGGCTCGCCGTCTTAGTAATTGCGGAAGCCCTTACTATGACCTCTATGGCCCTATATTATTTGGAACTCAATAACTTCTCTGACCTTATTTTTTTCTTCTACTCTTCTGCCATTTACCTGACTCCAGACACACAGTCTCCTGGCTGTTTCTTGATAGACCAGGCATATTTAGGACCTTTGCATTTGCTGGTCCCTTCTCATGGAAGGTTTTTTCTGAAAATATCTACATGGCAGCTCCTTAATTTCATTCAGATCTTTTTTACTCAAAAGACACTTTCACAACAAGGACTTCCCTGGCCATCCTGTCTAAAATATCAACACCTTGCAGGCACACCCCTTTGCCTGCTTTACTTCTCTTTTTGCACCTAGGAGAGCAGGGATTTTTGTAAGCTCTGTTCACTATTCTAGCCCAGAACCTAGAGTAGTACCAGGTATGCAGTAGGTGGTCTATAAATATTTGTAAAATGAATGTTGACAGAATTTGACCAAGTGCTTTATGTATTTTCCTAATACCTCCACAGGGAGTCCTAAATGCTTTCCCATCATGCGCACTGTTGTAGCTCCGGGATCCCAGTCCATATCTTACAGAAGAAGCTGCTCTGTATCAATGTGTGGATTTCACCAGCCTTTCCAGCTGACACTGAACCACAACGATTCACCATTTGCAGGATCACTTTTCTTTTTTTCCAATTTCTTCCTACTTCTTACTCTTCTAGATTAGTGGTTTTCAACCATGACTACACATGAAAGTCAGCAGAGAACTTCAGAGTGATTCTAATTTAATCGGTCTGGGCAAGGGAGGAAGTTAAGACCTGGGCCTCCTAGGTTTTAAAAGCTCTCTAGGTGATTATAATATGCAAGCTAGGGTTGCAAAGCCCTGCCCTAAGTGAATTCCTGTGTCTTAGTTGTGTTCATTAATCTGAGATCACATTCTCTGCTTCCATCTTTTATTTATTTTTTTTGAGAGGCTGAGTTGTTTAATTTATTCCTTTTTTTTTTAATTCCAGTTCATGGCTGAGTTGTTGAAAATGTAATCTCAGAATGTCATATATTTGTACTTATACAATATGAGATTGCATTTTCAACATCTCTGCCTCTCAAAATGATGTAATAAGGGAGCGGAGAATGTGCTCCTTGGAAGAGACTTTAAATTATAGATAAACTGAGTGAGTATGGGTTGTAAGGTCAGTGCAATTCAGCAAGTGCTTGTTGAGCTCCTATTGTACACCCAATTTCTAATGCTGTGTTAAGCATTGTGATGATGTCAGGTGTTGTGGAAGGGGGAGAATGACTGATAGACAATCAAGGAATTAAAGATTATTAAGAAGGTAACATTACAAAACAATATGCTAGAAGGGTCTGTATATATGTTCCTGATTCCATGAAGTGCAAAAACAAGAGATATGTTTAAAAAAGAAGAAGATAGCAGGAAGGGAAAAATGAAGGGGGGGGGGAATCGGAGGGGGAGATGAACCATGAGAGACTATGGACTCTGAGAAACAAACTGAGGGTTCTAGAGGGGAGGTGGGTGGGGTCATGGGTTAGCCTGGATGATGGGTATTAAAGAGGGCACGTTCTGCATGGAGCACTGGGTGTTGCACGCAAACAATGAATCATGGAACACCACATCAAAAACTAATGATGTAATGTATGGTGACTAACATAACATAATAAAAAAAAAAAAAACAAGAGATGGCTTAGAGCATACAAAGTCAAAATAGCCAGCATCTGAGGATATTGATTTAAGAGGGCGAAAGAAGGACAATTAAATAATTAAGAGGAATAATAATGACAACCACAAGAGATCTGCCAAGACTCTTGAAATAAACAGGCCTTGATCACTGCTAACACAAAACAATAATTTGTGTTTCATGCTTTGTCCAAAGCTACATTTTAATTATTAATTTTGCCAAAAGCAGACCACCGTGGTTTCCATAGTAATTTTGATGGTAACTTAGGGCTACTGGTTTGCCCTAGAAACACTCATCTGAGTGATGAGAGAAGGTCTAGAAGATCAACTTACTTTGACAATAATCTTGTGAATGATACTAATCATTGCAATGACTGGCCCCTTCAACCAGTTACAAGCCAGTTATGGGACATAAATCTTCTCTTCCCCCAGGAATCGGACCTTACGTTCCGACTGGCCAGTGGGCTTGTTATATGGCAGCCCATGTGGGAGCACAGACAGCCCGAAGTCTCTGGCTTCACAGCACTGGTGAAGCCCATCAGGAACATCATTACAGGTTCGTAATTTGGACACCTGCTGGGACAGTGTTAGCAGACTCTCTCATATGCAGAAGTAAGGGTGATGGAATGATTTGCCCTTAAGAAACCAAGAGGAAGAAAATTTCTCCAGGGAGCTATGTTAGTGCCCCAGGCACAAGGCTCATTCACATGATGAGAAACTAAGCCAGGGGCACATGCCATTGAGTTGTGTGACTTTTGAGAAGTCATTTCAGTTTCCTGTGCCTCAGTTTCCTCATGTGTAAAATAGGAGTTAAACTTATGGGTTGTTATGAAGAATAAATGAATTAATTATATATAAAATTGCTTAGAAGAATGCCAGGTACCTAGTAAGTGAATAAGCTATTATTATAATTATATCATCATAATCATCATTACAGGAAACAAAGTAACAGCTCCTTAAAAATCTTGTCTTGGTGTTTATTTGCTATCAAAGCCTTTCACTACAGGAATTGTCAAATGAAATAATCTTATTGGTGAATAGTAGAAAGACTAACACATGACAGCTTGAAAAGTACCTCAAAGGCTCATGCTTCACTCCAGATCTATCTCTTACTATGTATGTACCTAACCTGAGTGTTCCTATTTCTTTAAAAGGGAGAAAATAATACCACCTTATATGGCCTCATAGTATGGAATAAGTAAGAATCCACATAAGGTGCCCATTTTATAGCTTACTAAATTCCATCTTTCTATTTCCAACCTAACTTTTAGCATTGATAATAGCACTTAGAAAGAGATAAATTATGTGGTACATCTCTAGATGCATGAGATATATATGTATAACTCTATCATTTGCTTACTTCCTAAGATTTTTCTGCAGACAGTGGAAGATTATGCATGTACAAGAGCTTTGTTAGGGGAGGGAAAGCATCAAGTAGTTCTTATGTATTTTCCCCCTATAATTTAACATACCTTTGCAAAGTACTTAATATGTTAAAGGATTTTCTAAACAAAAGAGTGCCATATTATTCATATATGTGATAAGATGCTTATAGTGACAAATCATGCTTACTATTGTAATTCAAACAAAAGATGAAATTTTTCATATGTAAAAGTAGACTACTTAGAGAATTAATGTGTACAATACATTAACTAGTGAAATAAGTTATATATGCAAGAGTAACTTTGTCTGTCATAAGGTTCAAATAGCAAGGAACTAAATAAGTAAAAATGTCATAGCCAGAGGTGATCTACTTCAGATTCTATGGATAGAATGAGGTTCATTTCATTGAATTAAAATTATCTGAGAGTGAAGATGGAGGTACAAGGTTAAAAGATTGAAAACAATAGAAATAAGAAAATAAAATATGTTACAGTAAAACAAAACTATTACTGAAAAAGATGTCTTTATGTTGATTAAGGAATTTTTTCATATTTTAAAGTCATCACTTTTGAATAAAGAGGTCACTTCACATTTAGGTCTCTCTCTCTTTCTCTCTCCCATTAATATGTAAACTATCATTTAACAGATGTATTAAAACTATTAAGAAATCGTGTCCCTCATGAATCACTGGGGCTGTTCATGTCACCATCCCTTGCTTCTAGATGATATTCACAGTGGATTCTTTTCCCCTCTACCTGATGCCTGTGGATGTGAAATGGTGCCCAAGATCTGAAGTGAAATTAAACGCAGCTCAGACACATGGCCAGAAGAAAAAGCAGGGGCACGTGGGTGACACTCCCTGGGTCTCTTGTTTTGTGACCTCAGTCAATCCCTTTCTGAGCATCAGTTTGCTCACAGTTCCCATGTGGCATGGCCAGCTTCACTTCCCACGATTCCCAATCCTCAGGAAAAGATGTAACTGATTTGAATCTTGCCATAGGAGAGGCTTAATGTGGTCATAAAAGCACAGACCCTGGAGCCAGAAAGCCTGGGCTTGAACCTTCACGTGAGGGTCAAACGATCTTGGGCAAGTTAAACTCCCTGTGCCTTAGTGTCTTTATCTGTAAAATGGGTCTAATAATGTTCCATATGTTATAATAGGGTTATTGTAAGTGTTAAATGAGTTGAGACAGTAGTTCCCCTCCCCCTTATCTGTGGTTTCACTTTCTGCAGTTTCAATTCCCTGTGGTCCAAAAGCAGATGATTTAATCTTCCTTCTGACAAATTGTCAGAAGGTTGGTAATTAATACTATGTCACAACGCCTACGTCCTTGACCTCACTTCATCTCTTCACATAGGCATTTTATCATCTCACATCATTACAAGAAGGGTGAATACAGTACAATAAAGTATTTTGAAAGAAAGAGAAAGAAACCACATTCACATAACTTCTATTATAGTATATTGTTGTAATCATTCGATTTTATTAGTGATTATTGTTAATCTCTTACTATGTGCAATTTATAAATTAAACTTTATCATAGGTGCGTATGTGTAGGAAGAAACAGTATATTTAGGGTTCAGTAGTATCCACAGTTTGAGGCATCCACTTGCAAGAGATCTCCAGCAGATAAGAGAGGAGTACGGTATACGTAAAATGCTTTAAAAAGGATGTGGCAGATACTTGGTACTATACGGTATTTTTATTTTTTTTTATTTTTAGTATTGCCAACTTTTTAGCACCGTAGCCTGTTGAGTCAGACTGAATAGATGAAGAAATCTGCATTGTTATGATAACCTAGAAATGCAAAGGTTTTTTAATTGGTTACTTGATTCCTCTTACAACATATGCTATTAAATGTCTTCTTTCCAGGTGATAATATATTAAAATGTTTTTTTTAAAGAAGTGAACTGATGAAATAAAATGAGCTTATTTATCATAATCTTATAAAATTTGTGATAGTATTTCTCCCATCTTGGCAGCTAAGAGAAGCTCTCCTATCAACAGCCAAAGTCAAACCTGTGAATCACCAAATCAAGATGCAAGACATCGAGAGGTGAGTTTCTTGTGATCGTGGGAAGAAAGGAGGTAGTCATTTCCTGGATGTAGTGTAGTGTAAAGGATAAGATGAGTTCTAGAATGATACTACTTGGTTTCAAAGCAAGTTCCTACTCCTGAATATAAATCTTTAAGTAGTCTCCAGTTTCCTATCTGTCAAGTATGGAAAATAATTTTATGCAGTTTCCTGGCATGGGAGTGCTGAAACAGAAGCATGTATAACTGTGCTTTATCTTTGTGGCCAGTGTGTAATCAGTGGTACTTTATCTCAATGGCTAGTGTGTAATCTGTTTTAGTTCAATGGCTAGTGTGTAACATTCGATAAGTGTTAGTTATCATTATTCCTCCCCCATTAGTTAAAGTGTCCTCTTGTTCTCAATTATTAAATCTCCTTAATATTCTTTAGGCAAGCCTAATCTAGCTAAGATAATGTTGCAGCAGGTGGGGAGGAAGGAGTAGAAAGGAGGCATTAGGTATAATCCTACCCCTTAAGAAATCTAAAGTTTAATGAAACATCAAGACAAATCCACATAAAACAGAATATGCATAATAAAAAAGAATATAATTCAGTGAAAAATGTTCATGCATTCTTTGGTTTGGAAAAGCAAGAAATGAAGGGGTAGTTCAAAGCCACATGGTTAGAGGATTGGGAAAAGATGGCGGAGGAGTAGGGGACCCTATTCCAACTGGTCCCTGGAATTGAGCTGGATACCTACCAGACCACTCTGAGCACCCACGAAATCAGCTTGAGATGTAAGAAGATTTGGATTTGTACAAACAGAATATCGCAGGCAGTTGGTTTCGAGGTATGAAGTGAGGAGCCATGATTCCATGGGCAGATATCAGAGGATAAACGGCAGTGGGAAGGAGCCTGGCCGTGGGGATCCTGCACCACTGGTGAGCGAAAGCCTCCTGCGCTGGGGACAACACAGACTCGAAGACCGGTAGCGGCGGCAAAGGACTTTAGGGCAGCCCCCCTGACGGAAACCCAAATGGCAGGGGCCCCACGTGCGAACTGGGGGGTGGCTGGCGGTTTCAGAAGCACAAAGGGCAGAGACATGCCCCGACCTGGAGGCGAGGACTGGGAGCGCTGCTGAGGGGTGCACAAGCCAGGCTGCTGCAGTTTATAGCAGCACAGACAGAAACGGAGATGGTGTGGCCTGGAGAGCTCACTGAGGAACAGACTGCAGTCTCTCTGCTCTGAGGCAGAGGGTTGGAAACGGTCTCTTCTGCTCTTACTCTCGGAAGAGACGTGGAAAGCCACCAGGGAAAGCTGCCAGAGAACAAAAGCCCCAAAAAACCGGTTCCCACTGAGCCCATCCCCACCACAGGGGGGCAGGGCAACTCTGCCCAAACAGGGTTGCCTGAGTAACAGCACGGCAGGCCCCTCCCCCAGAAGACAGGCTGGGAAAACAAGAGGCCAGCAACCCTAAGGTCTCTAGAAAACAGGTGCATCTTGCTTGGGTTCTGGTCAATAATTTGGACTCTATACATTCCCTTAACCACCCCTCAACAGAATGACTAGGAGGAGGAACCCCCAAAATAGGAAAGAGGAGGCCAGGGAAAAACTCAGAATCTATGAAAATAGAATCAGAGAAATAGGTGACACCATGAAGCATTCCAATGTCAGAATTACTGGAATCCCAGAGGGGGTGAAGAGAGAGAAAGGACTAGAAGATGTATTTGAGCAAATCATAGCTGAGAACTTCCCTAATCTGGGGAATGAAACAAATATTCATGTCCTAGAGGCAGAGAGGACCCCTCCCAAGATCAAGAAAAACAGGCCAACACCCTGGCATGTAATAGTAAAACTCGCAAATCTTAGAACCAAGGAAACCATCTTAAGGGCAGTTAGGGGGAAGAGATTCCTTACGTACAGAGGGAGGAACATCAGAATAATGTCAGACCTATCCACAGAGACCTGGCAAGCCAGAAAGGCCTGGCAAGACATATTCAGGGTACTAAACAAGAAGAACATGCAGCCAAGAATACTTTATCCAGCAAGGCAGTCATTTAGAATGGATGGAGAGATGCAGAGCTTCCAAGAATGGCAGAAACTGAAAGAATATGTGACCACTAAGCCAGCCCTACAAGAAATATTAAGGGCGGGGTCTATAAAAGGAGAAAGACCCCAAGAGGGATATACAACAGAAATTTACAGGGACAATCTATAAAAACAAGGTCTTCACAGGCAACATGGTGACAATTAATTCGTATCTTTCAATAGTCACTCTCAACGTGAATGGCCTAAATGCTCCCATAAAACGGCACAGGGTTGCAGATTGGATAAAAAGACAGGACCCATCCATATGCTGTCTACAAGAGACTTATTTTGAACCTAAAGATACATCCAGACTGAAAATGAAAGGATGGAGATCCATCTTCCATGCAAGTGGACCTCAAAAGAAAACTGGGGTAGCAATTCTTATATCAGACAAATTAGATTTTAAACTAAAGACTGTAGTTAGAGGCACAGAAGGATACTATATCATTCTTAAAGGGTCTATCCAACAAGAAGATCTAACAATTGTAAATATCTATGCCCCCAACATGGGAGCAGCCATCTACATAAGCCAGCAGTTAACCAAAATAAAGAGTCATATTGATAACAATACATTAATTGTAGGAGACCTTAATACTTCACTCAGCAACAGACAGATCATCTAAGCAGAAAATCAACAAAGAAACAAGAGTTTTGAATGACACACTGGGCCAGATGGACCTCATAGATATATACAGAACATTCCACCCTAAAACACCAGAATACTCATTCTTCTTGAGTGCACATGGAACTTTCTCCAGAATAGACCACATACTGGGTCACAAATCAGGACTCAACCGATACCAAAAGATTGAGATTATTCCCTGCATATTCTCAGACCACAATGCTTTAAAACAAACTCAATCACAAGAAAAAAATTGGCGGAAATTCAAACACTTGGAAGCTAAAGACCACTCTGCTCAAGAATGTTTGAATCAACCAAGAAATCAAAGAATAACTTAAACAATTCATGGAAACCAATGAGAGCGAAAACACATTGGTCCAAAACCTATGGGATTGCAAAGGCGGTCCTAAGGGGGAAATACATAGCCATCTAAGCCTCACTCAAAAAATAGAAAAATCCCGGGCGCCTGGGTGTCTCAGTTGGTTAAGCGACTGCCTTCAGCTCAGGTCATGACCTTGGAGTCCTGGGATCGAGTCCCACATCGGGCTCCCTGTTCAGCAGGGGGGTTTGCTTCTCCCTCTGACCCTCTTCCCTCTCGTGCTGTCTCTCATTCTCTCTCTCAAATAAATAAATAAAATCTTTAAAAAAAATAGAAAAATCCCAAATTCACCAACTAACTCTACACCTTAAAGAACTAGAGAAAAAGCAACAAACGATGCCTAAGCCACACATTAGAAGAGAAATAATTAAGATTAGAGCAGAGATCAATGAATTAGAAACCAGAAACACAGTAGATCAGATCAACGAAACTAGAAGCTGGTTCTTTGAAAGAATTAATGAGATCAATAAACCAGACTTATCCAAAAGAAAAGAGAAAGGACCCAAATTAATAAAATTACGAATGAAAGGGGAGAGATCACAACTAACACCAAGGAAATAGAAACAATTATTAGAAATTATTATCAACAACTATATGCCAACAAACTGAGCAATCTGGATAAAATGGATGCCTTCCTGGAAATCTATAGGCTGCCAAGACTGAAACAAGAAGAAATTGACAACCTGAATAGGCCAATATCCAGTAACGAGATTGAAGCAGTGATCAAAAAACCTCCCAAAAAACAATAGTCCAGCGCCTGATGGATTCCCTGGGGAATTCTACCAAACATTCAAAGAAGAGATAATACCTATTCTACTGAAGCTGTTTCAAAAAATAGAAACAGAAGGAAAGCTTCCAGACTCATTCTATGAGGCCAGCATTACTTTAATCCCCAAACCAGGCAAAGACCCCATCAAAAAGGAGAATTTCAGACCGATATCCCTGATGAATATGGATTCCAAAATCCTCAACAAAATCCTAGCTAATAGGATCCAACAATACATTAAAAGGCTCATCCACCATGACCAAGTGGGATTTATCCCAGGATGTAAGGGTGGTTCAACATTCGCAAATCAATCAATGTGATAGAACACATTAATAAGAGGAGAGAGAAGAACCATATGGTCCTCTCAATTGATGCAGAAAAAGCATTTGACAAAATACAGCATACTTTCCTGATTAAAACTCTTCAGAGTATAGGGATAGAGGGAGAATTCCTCAAGTTCATAAAATCCATCTATGAAAAACCCACAGCAAATATCATACTCAATGGGGAAAAGCTGAGAACATTTCCCTTAAGATCAGGAACATGTCAAGGATGCCCACTCTCACCACTGTTGTTCAACATAGTACTAGAAGTCCTAGCAACAGCAATCAGATAACAAAAAGAAATAAAAGGTATTCAAATTGGCAAAGAAGTCAAACTCTCTCTTTTCAGAGATGACATGGTACTTTATGTGGAAAACCCAAAAGACTCCACCCCCAACTTACTAGAACTCGTATAGCAATTCAGTAATGTGGCAGGATACAAAATCAATGCACAGAAATCAGTTGCTTTCTTATACACTAACAATGCAACTGTAGAAAGAGAAATCAGAGAAACGGTTCCATTTACAATAGTACCAAAAACCATGAGATACCTCGGAATAAACCTAACCAAAGAGGTAAAAGATCTATACTCTAGGAGCTACAGAACACTCATGAAAGAAATTGAAGAAGACACAAAAAGATGCAAAAACATTCCATGCTCATGGATCGGAAGTATAAACATTGTTAAAATGTCTAGGCTACCCAGAGCAATCTATACCTTCAGTGCCATCCCGATCAAAATTCCAATGATGTTTTTCAAAGTACTGGAACAAACAATCCTAAAATTTGTATGGAATTGGAAAAGACCCCGAATCACCAAGGAAATGTTGAAAAAGAAAAACAAAGCTGGGGCCATCACATTGCCCGATTTCAAGCTATATTACAAAGCTGTGATCACCAAGACAGCATGGTACTGGCACAAAAACAGACATATAGACCAATGGAACAGAATAGAGAGCCCAGATATGGACCCTCATCTCTATGGTCAAATAATCTTCGACAAAGCAGGAAAAAATATGCAATGGAAAAAAATACCGTCTCTTCATATAAATGGGCAGAAGGCATGAACAGACAGTTCTCTGAAGACATACAAATGGCTAACAGACACATGAAAAAATGTTCATCATCATTAGCCATCAGGGAAATTCAAATCAAAACCACATTGAGATACCACCTTACACCAGTTAGAATGGCAAAAATTGACAAGGCAAGAAACAACAAATGTTGGAGAGGTTGTGGAGAAAGGGGAACCCTCCTACACCATTGGTGGGAATGCAAGTTGGTACAGCCACTTTGGAAAACAGTGTGGAGGTGCCTCAAAAAATTAAAAATAGAGTTACCCTATGACCCAGGATTGCCCTCCTGGGTATTTACCCCAAAGACACAGATGTAGTGAAAAGAAGGGCCACATGCACCCCAATGTTCATAGCAGCAATGTCCACAATAGCCAAACTGTGGAAAGAGCCGAGATGCCCTTCAACAGATGAATGGATAAAGAAGATGTGATCTGTATATACAATGGAATATTACTCAGCCATCAGAAAGGATGAATACCCAACTTTTGCATCAACATGGATGGGACTGGAGGAGATTATGCTAAGTGAAATAAGTCAAGCAGAGAAAGTCAATTATCATATGGTTTCACTTATTTGTGGAACATAAGGAATAGAATGGAGGACATTAGGAGAAGGAAGGGAAAAACGAAGGGGGGGAAATCGGAGGGGGAGACAAACCATGAGAGGACTATGGACTCTGAGAAACAAACAGGGTTCTAGAGGGGAGGGGGTAGGGGGATGGGTTAGCCCAGTGATGGGTATTAAGGAGGGCATGCACTGTGTGGAGCACTGGGTGTTATACGAAAAGAATGGATCATGGATCACTGCATCAAAAACTAATGATGTAATGTATGGTGACTAACATAACATAATAAAATGAAATAAAATTTAAAAAAATATATGTATTTCTAGGTTTTCCAGATATACAATAAAAAAGCCACATGGTTATGTATACTGGCATTAATTTAGTATGTTTTTAGACGACCTACCTTCACTTCCAATTCAACACATGCAAAATACAATTTTCTGTTTTCCAGCAACACTGGATCCTCTTTCTAACCGATGCATTACTGTCAGCAGTGCCATCATCCTTTCTCCCCTCAAAACAGCAAATGTTGGAGTCCTATTATATCTACTGTTTCCTGAACATTTGCTAAGTACAGACACTGTGATTTGTCTGCTATATTTTATCTATTCTAAGATATACATTTTTTTCACTTTTAACATATTTGAAATCAGTTGTTTGATGATCTTTGGCCTCTTAAAACCTCCCTGCCTGGTAGCAGAATTGATAAGGTTGTCATTTTCATAAGATTGCGCAGCATGAATTTGTGATTTCCAGCATCTAACTTTGCAGAGTCAGGATCAGTGACTTAGAAGAATTTTTCAGAGGAAATAGTGGAACGCTCTTTTAAGAAATAACACTTTGAAGAAATAACATTTTTGACACAGAGAAAGTTACTCTATGGAAAAACATGTATCAAAAACTCTGATTTAAAATTTAGAAATTTCAAGAATACCTCTCCCAATTTATTTCACTTATATCGTCCTTTTTACATATACACAGGATGAACATATAATGAAAAGCTATGCCTAAATAAGTCTAAGTAAGATAGTGCTTTTAATAAATATATTAGAAAAAGTCCTCCCTGATAAGTGTCTTAGTTTGAGTTTTTTCTTATTTGAACATAAAATAATCATGTCTTATAACTGATGACATATTAGAGACAAGAAAATACGTCTCCTATTTCATTCTCCTTCCTCATCTCAATTTGAGTTCTTGCTGAGTCATATTGTTTTATCTTGTTATGTTGCCCACATGTGTTCTTTATTCTCTATGCCCGCTACCACCCTCTAAATCCAGGTCCTCATAACTAGATTGCAGCTGGAACCATCTAATTGGATTTTTCTACCTCTCGCCTCTCCTGCTTCACATAAATACCACCTAATAATGCCTGACTAATCTTCCTAATGCATCATTTATTTATTAACTCATCATTCTACAGAGGCTTATTATATGCAAGGTTGCCATTCTTTCTTTATATCCCTTGCTCCCTAGGAACCTATAGTGGATTTCTTTTACCATCACCTCCAGACCACACTCTTCTCCCTGGTTCTCTGTGCCTTCTGCCACCTAGCATCATTTTTCTTAAGTGACCTTGTTTACCCCTTCAGTTAGTTAAGCACTGCTTCTCATATATAGAACATGCTGCTTTAGCCTCTGGGTGTTTGCTCAGACTGTCTCCTCTGTGTGGATTACTATCTTTCCTCTTCATTGCTTGTCTAAATTTTATCTTTCTTTTAAGGACCAATTAAGATCTCAACTCCCGCATGAACTCCTGTCTAATTACTCTAAATCTGCACTATCTCATATGGCAGCCACGAGGCTCATATGGCTCTTGAACACTTGAAATAAGGCTAGTTTGAATTGAGATGTGTTCTAAGTATCAAATGTACACCAAATTTTGACTACTTAGTATTAAAAAAGGAATGTATATCTTAATGATCATTTTCATATTGATTATATGTTGAAATGATAATTTGGGGTTAAACAGAATATAATATTAAAATTTCACCAATTTTTATTATTTTTAAAATTAGATATGTGTCTCATGTTTGTGGCTTGTATTATATTTCTATTGGGCGTGCTACTCTAACCTATATTCATCTTAAACTTAACTGTAAGTTCTTGATTTCAAGGTTCAGATTCATCTAATACTTTTTTATCTCCCAAATTACCCAACATGAAGCACACATAGCATGCTCATTCTAAAGGATTCGCTAATCTAGTTCAGAGGACTTATTTTATGAAATTTTTAGCAGTGTATTTGTCTCTCTATGCATCATGGTTGGACAGTGCTTTCTTATTTTACATATGAAAATAGAAATTATGAGAACTAAAATACTATGATAAATGTTTGAGGGTCTTCATACATAAGTGAAGAATTTCATCTGTAGTATCTATGGAAAGACAATGTCCTATTACCTGAGCAGAGTTGTACTTATTAGCTAAATGTCATTAAAATAAGCTACTCTGCAAGAGAATCGCTGCATTTGTGCTTAACAAATCGGAATAAAGGTCATCGTCTCCAACTGGAAAAGTGTATCCCATCCTCCTTTAATGAGTGACAGAAAGACCTGAAACCTGTGCTTCGATTCTCATTTTCTGGCTTCAGTTTGATCAGCTCTTACTAACCTGGTTTCCAGCTCAGGCCCTACTCAGCTCACCTCGATATGTACTGGCACATCTTTGATGAGTTGGTGGTTTGTAACTCTTCTACAGATCCTGCGTATGTGGAGGTGAAAAAGAAAAGAATCAAGGGCAAAATGAAATAAAGTTTATGAAAGTACTTAGCTGAATGCTTAAAATAACATACATGGTTCTCTAGAAGTCTTTTTCCATTCGCTCTTAGATGAAAGCAAAATCCCTTGGTCTATGACCTTGTAGTTAGCTATGCTATAAAGAAAAATGTTCAATTTTTAAAAACAATATATGTACTGTGATGGCTAATTCTAGAGGCTATATCTGAAGGAAAAAGAAAGGAAGGGAGGGAGGGAGGGAGGGAAGGAAGGAAGGAAGGAAGGAAGGAAGGAAGGAAGGAAGGAAGGA